AGAAAACAGAACCTTTTGGTTCTGGCTCCTACCATTCTGGGGAGCGACAGTCCGGTTCCTATTCCCCCGGCAAGTCAATATGGGAAAACATGGGTGACTCACGCACGCTCCTCCCCATTATGGCTGGCAGGTCCGAGTGGACGGCATTGATTACTTCTCTGAGGAAGGATGTACCACCCCTCACCCCTGCCTAGTTTAGCCTGTCTGGCTGTTGCCAACCTGAACCCAGTCCCGCTCCTCTCAGCTGTGGTGCTGTCGGGTTATTGTGTTATGCTAGAGCGGTCTGGAGTGTCTACGAACATCTTGAAATCCCTAACATCCTAGGCCCTATGTGCCTTGTTCCTGTCTAGCCTTAAAACCTAAACCCTCAAGCTAAAACCCTGAACCATACTTGTGGCGCACCGCGGTGCGCGCCTCAGCGCACGAGTTGCGCACGCAGCGCCCCGCACCCGGTGCGGCGCACCCAAATAAATAGGGTCGCAAAAAAAAAAAAAAAAACGGGGGGTGGGGTTTGAGTATGGTGCCCCCCCGGCCTCCCAAAATTGAAAAAGAGGTCGCGCCGCCTTCGAAACCAGCCCCGCCCGCGGCCCGAAGTTTTTTTTTTGAAAGGTCTGCAGAATTCGAATTGCCTTCTCCCCAAAAAAGCAAACACTTCGGGCCACGGGCGGGGCCGGTTTCGAAGTCGGCGCTGCCCATTTGTGTGCAGGTTCGTGACGGCCGACCGACGACGACGAGCGAGGGAGGAGCCGACGAGGACGACGACGGGGGGACTGCCGACTTTGAAACGACGACGGCGACGACGAAGGAGGGAGGAGGGCCGCCGACAAGGACGACGACAGGGGACTGTCGACGAGGACGACGACGACGAAGGAGGGAGGACGTCTCTCTCTCTCTCTCACTCTCTCTCTCTCTCCTCCTTTTCATCTCCTCCTCCTCCTCCTCCTCCTCCTCTTCTTCTTCCTCCTCCTCCTCCTCCTCACCCTCCTTTAATGTTAACGCGCCAGGTGGCAGATGGTTTTTTTTTCTTTCTTCCCCCCGGCTATTCTAACGCAGTTATTCTTCCCCTCCTCCTCCTCCTCCTCCTCCTCCTCCTCTTCATCTTCTCCCCCCTACTCCTCCTCTTCATCTTCTTCGTCCTCCTCCTCCTCCTCTTCGTCCTCTAATGTTAACGTGCCACGTGGCACATCTTTTTTTTTGTTTTGTTTTTTGGTTCGGCTATTCTAAC